GTTTGTTCCTTTTGCTTTAAGTTTAAGAGTGTACCATCTGTTAGGTGTCAGCTGGCATTGTGTTTGTTCCATTTGCTGGAGTGTACCATCTGTTAGGTATCGGCTGACAGTGAGCGAGGGCTTTGTGAGATGCTGGACAGTGAGTGACGGGTCAGATTACAGTGAGTGGACCACCATGCTAATGCTATAAAAGTGGGAATGTCATTTCTGGGGCTCTTTAGAACTCTTTCTACATGACGTGTTGAAATGTTGATGCCGCTGGTATTGTGTTTTTGTGTCGCGCGTCATCAACAGTCTCATGTGTCAGTACCGTAGCAGTCTGTGAGGACACAAGTTGAGCAGTAAATGTACCCACTCAGAGTGAGGACACAAGTTGAGCAGTAAATGTACCCACTGAGAGTAAGGACACAAGTTGAGCAGTAAATGTACCCACTGAGAGTGAGGACACAAGTTGAGCAGTAAATGTACCCGCTGAGAGTAAGGACACAAGTTGAGCAGTAAATGTACCCGCTGAGAGTGAGGACACAAGTTGAGCAGTAAATGTACCCACTGAGAGTGAGGACACAAGTTGAGCAGTAAATGTACCCGCTGAGAGTAAGGACACAAGTTGAGCAGTAATTGTACCCACTCAGAGCACAGAAGTTTGTAGCTCCTCTTGTGATTGTCAAAGCTCTCACATGAACACACATGAAGATTAGAGCACAGGGGGAAAACGACGGTAGTCACTACCTGGAAATTATGAGTGTGCCAATTTTAAAAGCGTGTGGACTCATAACTTCATATTTGTTTTACCGGTGGTTTATTGTTAAGTGTTGTTGAATGGGAAATCTAACAAGTATAATCAACCAACAGTTGAACAGAAATACAGTTGTAAGTCAACGAGCGTTCTAAATTGGTACCCTCGCGATTTTCAGTTTGTGACTACCGTCGTTTTTCTCCTGCGTCATGTGTACTGTTCCTTTTATTCTCTTTTTGGGTCTCCTGTCTTGTCTTTCCTTATAGCGGTTCTTATTGTTTTTTGGTGGGTGCTATGGTGTGGTTTGCTCCTTCTTTCCTATCAAGCATGTATCGTTTTTATTTCAGTTCCTTCTTTTTTGTTTATAAATGTCCATGATGTTTTATTTAACGCCTGTAAACTTCGGCACTTATTTGATCTTGTTAGATTACAAGTGTCGTAAAACTCTTATTACTAAAACTAGCTTTTTGGGGGCAATACTTTATCTTTCAAAGTTATAATAGTGACAACTATTTGCAGGCAGAGTCCTACATAACTCCCACAGTTCCGTAGACGCGGTGCTCAATTCCTGACGTAGGTGATAGATGGAACCGGTGTTGTGTTTGTAGTGGTATCAGCCGGAAGTATTTTTCAAGTTGAGAACATCTCAATATAATACACCTCAGATGGAATTGTTGGGTCAAGCTTTGTGATAGGAAAAGTTTGTGGAGTCCTTTCTCTCATTTTTTTTTTTTTCTTTTTTGTTTTAAAAGTGTTTTACGGCGCTCGCAACTGCATAGGTCATATGAGCGAGTGAGATTCAGTAAACATTTTCAGTTGGTGTGAAATTTTTAATTTTGCCCAGGTGGCGGCCGAAGCCTACTCTATCGATTTTAGACCACCAAGGGATCTTAAACGTGCGCAACTTGCACACAGGCCCTCCGAAATTTTTCGCCCTTGTCCGAGAAGGCTAGGTGTAGATCTTTCCTACCAGAAGATCAGGGGTGTGGCAGAAAGACTGCAGTCACAAGGACCCAAAGAGTAGCAATAGAAAGGCTGCAGAAAAGGAGGTGAGGGGGTGGGGGCAGAAAGAGATGAAAGCAGACGACAGAACATTGCTTGTGAGCAGGAAAGGAGGTGAAAGGAGACAATTTTAGAGAAGAAAATTTTTCGGTCACTACCCGGATTCGAACCCGGGACCTTTGTATGAGAGGCCAACACTTTAACCACTAGGCCATGAGAGAGAGCCACTGAGTCCTTTCTCTATTGCTGTATATCAAAACCGAGCTCTCTAGTCGTAAGAAATCCTAAGGAATAATGTTATTGACCCTGAACATGTGAATTTTGAAATGACCTTGAGAAATAATGTTTCTTTGCATCAACAGACAAAAGTATGAGGGCAGACGTGAGATCTTTGAGGCGCCGTCCATGTTGGACATCGGAGTTCGTCGTATTTTTGACGAGGAACACGACATGTTTCGTCAGAATGTGAGACGTTTTTTCCAGGAGGAGGTCATCCCTCAGCATGAGAAGTAAGAAAGTTTTATCTTTTAACAGTTTGTGTCTCTGGAGAAGTAAGAAAGTTTTATCTTTTAACAGTTTGTGTCTCTGGAGAAGTAAGAAAGTTTTATCTTTTAACAGTTTGTGTCTCTGGAGAAGTAAGAAAATTTTATCTTTTAACAGTGGGTGGTCTCTTTTGAGAAGTAAGATAGTTTTATCTTTTAACAGTGGGTGGTCTCTGGAGAAGTAAGATAGTTTTATCTTTCAACAGTGTGTGGTCTCTTTTGAGAAGTAAGAACGTTTTATCTTTCAACAGTGTGTGGTCTGTTCTGAAAAGTAAGATAATTTTATCTTTTAACAGTTTGTGTCTGTTTTGAGAAGTAAGAAAGTTTTATCTTTTAACAGTGTGTGGTCTCTGGAGAAGTAAGAAAGTTTTATCTTTCAACAGTGTGTGTCTCTTTTGAGAAGTAAGATAGTTTTATCTTTCAACAGTGTGTGGTCTCTTTTGAGAATAAGATAGTTTTATCTTTCAACAGTGTGTGGTCTATTCTGGGAGGTAAGATAGTTTTATCTTTCAACAGTGTGTGGTCTCTTTTGAGAAGTAAGATACTTTTATCTTTCAACAGTGTGTGGTCTCTTTTTAGAAGTAAGATAGTTTTATCTTTCAACAGTGTATGGTCTCTTTTGAGAAGTAAGATAGTTTTATCTTTCAACAGTGTGTGGTCTCTTTTGAGAAGTAAGATATTTTTTATCTTTCAACAGTGTGTGGTCTCTTTTTAGAAGTAAGATAGTTTTATCTTTCAACAGTGTATGGTCTCTTTTGAGAAGTAAGATAGTTTTATCTTTCAACAGTGTGTGGTTTCTTTTGAGAAGTAAGATATTTTTTATCTTTCAACAGTGTGTGGTCTCTTTTGAGAAGTAAGATAGTTTTATCTTTCAACAGTGTGTGGTCTGTTCTGGGAAGTAAGATAGTTTTATCTTTCAGCAGTTTGTGGGCTCAAGAGATGTAAGATAGTTTTATCTTTCAACAGTGTGTGGTCTCTTTTGAGAAGTAAGATAGTTTTATCTTTCAACAGTGTGTGGTCTGTTCTGAGAAGTAAGATAGTTTTAATCTTTCAACAGTTTGTGGGCTCTAGAGATGTAAGATAGTTTTATCTTTCCACAGTTTGTGGGCTTTGCTTATTTCAGATTTTTTTAATGAGCTTTGGGGGGAGGGGGGGGGAGGGCTTCTAAGAACAAGTCATTGCACTACGATGTTGTCTCCAAAGTTAGTTTTTTTTTGTCACAGTTCACGATCATTCTTGCTTTCTTCTCTCTTTCTAAAAATAACAATAATGGATTGCATTTTTGCGTATATCCACTTATGTAATGCTCCATGCGCTTAACATGATACATATTGTGGATTTACAAATCAATTTTAAAGGCACATAGTGTTACATACGTGTGCCCACACATACTCACGCACGCTCGACACACACATACACACATACGTACATACACACATACAAACTCACAACAATCTACAGCTTGGGTGGATTCTGTCTAATCAAAATATGATGAAAATAGAAATGCTTTTAGTTTCTTCTTTAAAATTTCTAGATTTTCTGATTCTCTGATAGTTTTTGGAAGCCTATTCCACACAACTGGGGCAAAATATGAAAAAGAGCTTTGGCTATATGATTTGTAATGTATTTTAGGTTTGACAAGGGTTGTTTTGTCACTTGATGATCTGAGCGAGCGTTCTGGGAGGTACATAGAGTGTTCTAGTTTGGGAATGACATTTCAGCACGTGTGGATGTCAGTAACAAGATAAAATCTCTTGTTTCCTTGTTAGTTGGGTCAACATCCTTGTGTGTATATAATGATCCCTTTCATGTATAGAGACTTCAGCTGGCCATGTTCATAAAATGTAGCACACTCTTTGGGTGCAAAATTGATGAAATTATTTTTTCTTGAAATTAACGGAATTGTTTTATGCGATGTATATTAAATGTATATTTTGTAAAGGTTGTCTTATCAAAGATATGTTCGTGGATGGTTAGTGGGTGCTCTGGTGTGGTTTGCTCCTTCTTTCCTGTAAAAAAAATCTATCGTCTCTATCTCCCCTCCTTCTTTTTTGTGTTTGTTACTCTCATGTAACACCTCTAATCTTCGGCACTTATATGACCTTATTGTGATGCACTTACTAAAACTAAAGACATCGTCTCTTTTTTTCCTCTCTTCTAGATGGGAAAATGATGGGCAAGTCAGTCGAGAGGTAAGGAATAATTTTCTGTCATATTCTAAATAGTTTTGCCTTTTTTTTCTTTGTGTACTTAATATTTTCCTATTTTTCTTTTTCTCGTACTTAATCTTTTTCCTTTTCTCGTACTTAATCTTTTTCCTTTTTTCGTACTTAATCTTTTTCCTTTTCTCGTACTTAATCTTTTTCCTTTTTTCATTGTACTAAACTTTGCCTTTTTCCTCGTCCTGTACTTTTTTTCTGTCATGTAGATCTATTTATTTTTTTTATTTTTATTTTAATGGAGCACGTGCTTGCATTGTTATAAACATGCCCCTGGAAAATTGAGAAGCCGGTCTGGCAGTCACCCTACTACTGGACTCTGTTACCTGTGGATAAAATACAGGTGATGATTCCTCTTACCTGTGGATAAAATACAGGTGATGATACCTCTTACCTGTGGATAAAATACAGGTGATGATACCTCTTACCTGTGGATAAAATACAGCTGATGATACCTCTTACCTGTGGATAAAATACAGGTGATGATACCTCTTACTGGACTCTGTTACCTGTGGATAAAATACAGCTGATGATACCTCTTACATCTGCATGGTCACCTCAATATTCGTACCAACATTATGTTATCAGTTCCAAAACTGGACATTAAGTAAGACCAATGAAAGCAAGAACACTGCATGGGAAATGAAATGTCTCCGCAAAACCCTTAACATCACAAGACGAGACAGGCAGAGAAATGAAGAAGTAAGAGCAGCTATCAGCACTGAGTCCTGCCTGCGTTACATAGAAAGACAGAGAATAAAATGGTTCAGCCACCTGTTACGTATGTCACCTG